GTGCCCCCACGACACCCCCCCACTTCCCCTCCCCCCACACGACACCCCCCATGTGTGCCCCCGTACACCCCCCACAGCCCCTCCCCCCACAGACACCCCCTGTCTGTGCCCCGTACACCCCCACAGCCCCTCCCCCACAGACACCCCTGTCTGTGCCCCGTACACCCCCACAGCCCCTCCCCCACAGACACCCCTATGTGTGGCCCGTACACCCCCACAACCCATCCCCGGAGGTGAGTGATCACCCATAGATACTGGTACAGCTCCTATCTGTGCACCCCATACAGCCCCCCGCACACACCTCCTTCCCCCTCAGCCCCTCCCCACCCCAGTACCCCCCGACTCCTTCAGTAAGGCTTGTTACCCTTCGCCCCACCTCAGTCCCTCATAAATCTCCCCCCCTTGTGAGAAAGATAAGTGAGCCCCCCAGCCCGTACACGGACCACATCCCCCCCCAGTCTATCCCCCATGAACCCCTACCGCTATACACCCCTCTTCCTGGCCATGGATTTGTATCCCCCCAATGCTCCGCCCCGCTGATAAAATAACAGTGATAAAGTGCTGAGTCCCCGTGTAGCCAGTCCCCGCCCCCCCTCCGAGGGGCTCTGTCCCAGCGCCGGGCGAGGGGTCCCCGTGTAACCAGTCCCCGCACCCCACCCCCCGGGGCTGCGTCCCAATGCAGGGCGAGGGGTCCCCGTGTAGCTAGTCCCCGCCCCCACCCCAGTGGCTGGTGTGAATTGATCTCATGCATTCGGAGTGCACGGGGCGCGGGGGGGGGTCCTCAGGTGGGGCGGGCGGCCTGATCCTGCTCTAACCCCCCCGCCCCGCTTCCCTCCCTGCCCCCTCCCGGCAGCGTCCCTCCCTGGAGGAGATGGAAGCGAATGCGAGCGACGAGGGCGTCCATTTCCAGAGCTACCCCTTCGACTTCCTGGAGTTCCTGAACCACCAGCGCTTTGAGCCCATGGAGGCCTACAACCAGGAGCACGCCAAGGCCGTGGCCTCGCTGCCCTGCCCCCAGCCCCCCTACGAGTATCCCCCGCCGCCCGCCGGCGCCCCCCACTTCGACCGCCCTGCCCCCGCCAAGCCCAAGGACTTCAAAGCCGAGGGCCCCGCCCCCTCCGCCTCCGGCGCCGCCCAGCCCAAGAAAGCCGAGCCCGGCACCGCCCCCCCGCAGCAGTACAGTGCCGCCGCTGTGCCCGCCGCCCCTCCGCTCTTCGACGGGGCGGGGGCTTTCGGCGCCCCCCAGTGGGGCATCGTGGACCTCTCGGGGCACCAGCACCTCTTCGGGAGCCTCAAGCGGGGCGTGGGCACGGCCCCGGCCCCGGCGGCCCCGGCCGACAGCCCGGCCGGCAAAGACGACAAAAACTATTTCCGGCGGCTGAAGTACTTCATCGACCGGCGCTTCCCCTGCGGCGTGTGCCAGAAATCCTTCAAGCAGTCATCCCACCTGGTGCAGCACATGCTGGTGCACACGGGCGAGCGGCCGTACGAGTGCTCCACCTGCGGCCGCACCTACAACCACATCTCCAGCCTCATCCGCCACCGGCGCTGCCACAAGGAGCCGCCTGAGGCCGGCCCGGCTGCCGCCGCCGCCACCGCCCACCTGCCGCCGCCAGCCCCGGCCACCGAGCCGGCCGGGGAAGGCAGCCCCAGCCCAGCCCAGCCCGATGGCCCCTTCACCTGCTCCCTGTGCTGGAAAGTCTTCAAGAAGCCAAGCCACCTGCACCAGCACCAGATCATCCACACTGGCGAGCGGCCCTTCAGCTGCTCCGTCTGCGAGAAGAGCTTCAACCGGCGCGAGAGCCTCAAGCGCCACGTCAAGACCCACTCGGCCCTGCTGCGGGTGCCCTGCGGCGTCTGCGGCAAGGAGTTCCGGGACGCCGCCTACCTGCTCAAGCACCAGGCCTCCCACGCCGGCCCGCGCCCCAACTACAAGTGCGACGTCTGCGGCAAGGCCTACGCCGCGCCCCAGAGCCTGCTGCGCCATCGCCAACTCCACGAGGGGGCCCCCGCCCCCCCCAAGGATGCCCCTACCACCGACTCGGCTCCAGCCGCCTACCAGGGGCCCTTCCTGCTCCCCAATGAGGCCCCCCACGCCGAGGGGGAGGCCAAGGCGGCCTTCGGCAACGCGGCGCTGCTGGGGCCCCACCCGCTGCTGCTGGGGGCCGGCAAGAGCTTCTGCTGCGGCATCTGCGGGCGCGGCTTCGGCCGGCGGGAGACGCTGAAGCGGCACGAGCGGATCCACACGGGCGAGAAGCCGCACCAGTGCTCGGTGTGCGGCAAGCGCTTCCGGGAGTCCTTCCACCTCACCAAGCACCACGTGGTGCACACCCGGGAGCGGCCCTACAAGTGCGAGCTGTGCGGCAAGGTCTTCGGCTACCCGCAAAGCCTCACCCGCCACAAGCAGATCCACCGGCTGCAGCTGCCCTGCGCCCTGGGGCCCGCCGGCGCCCTGCCCACCGAGGGGCTGAGCTACGGCTGCTCCGACTGCGGCGAGCGCTTCCCCGACCTCTTCCACGTCATGAGCCACAAGGAGGCCCACATGGCCGACAAGCCGTACGCTTGCGACGCCTGCGGCAAGTGCTTTGGCTTCATCGAGAACCTCATGTGGCACAAGCTGGTGCACCAGACGGCCCCCGAGCGGCTGCTGCCCGAGGGGGCCTGCGCCGAGGCCGCCCCGCCCCCCGGGCCCGCCGGCTGCCTGGAGAACGGGCTACCCGGGGAGGCGCAGGCCAGTGCCGCCGCTGCCGCCGGCCTGGCCTCCCTGGTGGCCCCGTCCGAGGAGCACCCCATGATCCCCAGCGGGGAGCGCTTCACCTGCGGCATCTGCGGGCAGAGCTTCAAGCACTTCCTGGCGCTGGTGACCCACAAGTACGTGCACCTGGTGCGGCGCACGCTGGGCTGCGCCGTGTGCGGGCGCAGCTTCGCCGGTGCCTACGACCTGCTGCTGCACCGCCGCACCCACCTGCAGAAGCGCCACTTCAGCTGCTCCGTCTGCGGCAAGCGCTTCTGGGAGGCGGCCCTGCTGATGCGCCACCAGCGCTGCCACACCGAGGAGCGGCCCTACCGCTGCGCCGTCTGCGGGCGCGGCTTCCTGCGCTCCTGGTACCTGCGCCAGCACAAGGTGGTGCACACGGGCGAGCGGGCCTACAAGTGCGCCCTGTGCAACAAGCGCTTCGCCCAGTCCTCCAGCCTGGCCGAGCACCAGCGCCTCCACGTGGTGGCCCGGCCCCAGCGCTGCCAGACCTGCGGCAAGACCTTCCGCTACCGCTCCAACCTGCTGGAGCACCAGCGCGTGCACCTGGGGGAGAAGGTGTACCGCTGCGACCTCTGCGGCAAGAGCTTCTTCTACCTCTCGTCCATCCTGCGGCACCAGCGGGCCCACAACGCCCGCCGCGACCTGCGCTGCTCCGCCTGCCTCAAGCTCTTCAAGGACCCCAAGTACTTCAGCAAGCACGTGCAGACCCACCAGGGCGGGCACCCCTTCAAGTGCAGCACCTGCGGCGAGGCCTTCGCCAACACCTACGGCCTGAAGAAACACCGGCACCTCCACAAGCTGGAGCGCCTGGCCGCCCTGGGCCACAAGGACCCCCTGAGGGGGAGAGACGGGGGAGGGGGCAGGTTGGGGGCAGACTCCTTAGTGCCACATATCCACCGGGTGGGGGGCAGGTTGGGGGCAGACCCCTTTAGTGCTATGGAAGCATTGGGGGGTGTGGTAGGTTGGGGGGCAGATCCCTTAGTGCCATGTAATCACCGGGGTGGGGGGCAGGTTGGGGGGCAGACCCCTTAGTGCCACGTAACCACCGGGTTGAGGGGCAGGTTGGGGGGCAGACCCCTTAGTGTCACGTAACCACCGGGGTGTGGGGCAGATTGGGGGGCAGACCCCTTAGTGCCATGTGTCCACTGGGGTGGGGGGCAGGCTGGGGGGCAGACTCCTTAGTACCACTTATCCACTGGGGTGGGGGGCAGGTTGGGGGGCAGACCCCTTAGTGCCTCGTATCCAGTGGGGTGGGGTGCAGACCCCTTAGTGCCATGTAACCACCGGGGTGGGAGGCAGGCTGGGGGCAGACCTCTTAGTTTCACGTATCCACCAGGAGGGCGGAAGGTTGGGGGCAGACCCCTTAGTTCCACGTGTCCACTGGAGTAGGAGGCAGGTTGCGGGGCAGACCCCTTAGTGCCGTGTATCCACCTTCTGTGGTGGCCCCCCCGTTTCCATGCAGGAACCTAGGACTCTGTGGCCCCCTTGGGTGACAGCGCCCTGCCCCACTGGAGGACATCTCGGACCCTCCCGATTTAAGGGAGCTTCCTCCACCCCTGCTGATGGGCCACGGACTCCCTGCCGGGCAGAGGCTGCTGGACCTGGCACTGCCGAGGGGGCGAGACCCCCAGTACTTTCCTGGACCCGGCCCTCTCCCAGTGCCCCCCCGCATTGATGGGGGGAGTTTGGTGGGTCTCGCCTGCTGACTGTGCCCAGCGGTGCAGGCTGGGACCCCGGCGGACTGAGGTGGGCACGGTGCCCACCAAACGGCCCTTCCCCGGCCGGCGTCTGGACAGTGGCACCCAGCCAGGGCTCGACACGGACAGGAGCAAAGGCCAGGGACACTCCGGGCTTCTCCCTCCCCACGCAACAGCCTGGAGCTAGGGCTGGCCAGGACCTGAAATCCCGCTGGATGGGGGCCATGGCCGTCTGAAGGAGGCGCTCTCTGCAGGACCGTCGCTCCGGCCACCCACGTGGTGCACCCTGGGGCTGGAGACTAATGCTGGGGAGCTGCTTTCCCACTGGCTGGTGACCCCCCTCCCAACTCCCTGTTTTGCAGGGTGGACGCAGGCCAGGCCCCAAGATGGACCGAGGAGCTGTGCCACGATTCGCTGGCAAAGCCCCCAGGCGGCTCTGCAGTGCCCAGACCAGCAGGATGGGCCCTGGGGCGTCCTGGTGCCAGTGTGGAGCTGGTAATCAGGGCCCGGGGGGGGGGGGGTGGAGCTGGCTGTGCAGTGGGGCTGCCTCCCCCCGAGTGGGGCCAGCCCTGGGGCTCAGACCGCGGGGGCGGGGGGCTCTGCCACAACGAACTCTCCAAGGGTCAGACAGGTCCTAGTGGCTGGATCTGGGGGTTAACCCAGCTGGTCGGAAGTGCATGGCCCAGGGGGCGGCTCTGTTCTAACCTGAACTAGCCAAGCGGAGCAGCCCCATGCGGGTGGGAAGCTCAGAGCCACGGCCAGACACACCAGGAGTTGCAGCAAATATCCCCAGTTCTGGCTAGCTGGCTACCCTTCCCTCCCTCCGTCCCCTTCCCTCCATCTCTCCCTCACTCCATCTGTCCATCCCGCCTTCCATCCATCCACCCCCATCCCCTCCCTCCATCTCCATCCCTCCATCTGTCCATCACTCCATCCATCCCCATACCCATCCATCCATCCCTTTCTCCACCCCCATACACCTCCATCCATCCATCTGTCCCTCACTCCATCCATCCATCCCTCCATCCCCCTCCATACACCTCCATCCCCATCGATCCATCTGTCCCTCACTCCATCCATCCATCCCTCCATCC